CATATTAGCCCCGCTTTTCCTTACTCTACTAAGTCTTACCAGGCCTAAATAGGATATTTACCTCTGAATTGCTAATGTCACAGTTAGAGATAATATATGTAGGGTAAAATGTAGAGGTTCTGGAATGTCTTCCTGCAGAAGTAAAAAGTGAAGTATGTGGGGAAGCAATATCCAGTCATGCCCGATGTTCCACGAACTGCTCTGCTGATGTAACCCATTACCCATGCAAGAAAAAAAAATGCGACCTTTATTACTTGTTAAAATGAGCTCTCTTACGTGCACTTAGCTAATTTCTGTTTTTCCCAGACTCTAAACTTATCATAGACTCCTACGAAAATGCGCTAATGCATATTTCAATCTCGAAAAATATCTCCTATGACTGTTTTAGTTGCTAATTCAGGAATTCACTCTCTACACGGGAATGTTATGGGGGACGAAAAAGACCTGATAAACCGTAGGCGCCCTGTCGGGGTGAGTGCGAGTATGGAGCACGTTATCTTCTAAAAATACATTCACCCATGAAGTTGAGTACTGACTATAGGCTTCCCAATTCGGCACACATACTCACCATGCCATAAGAAGCCTATTTGATTTCTTCAGTAGTAAAGACTTGATGATATAAAAAATTTGCGCAACCATAAAAATACCACATAACGAAACAGACTGTGCGCTGCGAAACCCGCCCAAAATAACCTGTAATAGAGCCCCAAAGAAACCTAAACGTGAGCCTCTCCGTTTTGGAATAGAGATGGCTCCAATCGAAGAGATTACAAACCTGAATAGATGCTTACTTAATGCCTCTCTCTGAGAAATTTTATCATGTCTCCGTCTATCTCCTGCCACTATTACGACTACGTCGGCAACACTTCCATTTAGAGAGACGGAGGTTTCTTAGCTTAGGAGCAAAGGCTTTTTCAAGCCAGGCTATTCTATGGACCTTTCCACTACGTAGGTGCTACGCATCGCTTACTTATCTATTTTTTCTTTTTTGACATATACCCTTTTGGAAAATGCTGCCTTTTGCTCTAACTACAACCCTGGAACTCAACCTCAAGAGCCTAACCCCCAGTCAAAAGCGTGATTTCGAAACAGCAGGAGACTATACTCAAACTAATCAGCCATTCANTGAGCACATATCCTTACCTATCGCTTTTTGAGTCCGCCACCGACGACCTGAGCGATGGTCGTGGCTGTTCCGACAAGGTCATTGACCTGTATGATGTCTCATATCGTGGACGAATGGGTGAATAGCTTCTGAAAACTTCCTCAACAACTAGTCAGTGAGTAATCTATATCGTAACTACCAAACGCAATAAAATAAGCATAGAAATCCTACCAATCAGATTGATTAGTGTAACAAAAAATCTCCTATAAAAATCACTATTGATCAATCCTACTTCAAGAAACTGCACTACTGGTTCACTCAAATCTATCAATTATGCACTTAAAAACGAACCGCAGGTTTTCCAATAAGAATTTATTCTGCCAATAGGTTGTACGTAAGCTTAAAAAAGATAGTAAAATAGGAAACTCGCTAGAACGACCTAAAACGGGCGACACCGCCCACTGGACGAGTTTTCTTACACGTCACACCCGGTACAGTCGTAGGAAAATATTGATTGATTGATTCAAGAAAAAGAGTTCAAACTCCAGAGTTTTTCTAAGCATGAAGAACTCCCTTCTGACCTTGACATCACTTCCTTTGGTTCGTCGGCTTTTGTTCGGCTATAGGATAGTGCAAACGAAGGAGTGTATGAGGTGGACGCCCTTGTACGAGAGCCGTAGGTTGAGCTATCTGTAGATCCGTTACGTGATCGATACTGAATAGTCGATATCAATCAATGAGGATGCCTTTCTTTAACGCGTAGAGCAGCTCGAGCGTCGCGTGCGTATTAGTGGGGAAAACCTCTAGCTAGTGAATAACAACCCGCAACCATCTCTATTCTAATGGGATGTAAAGTGAGACAGACAGGAACCGATGCACGCGGTCGCGTTGCGTTGGCGAGTGGTAGTTCGCAGGCAATTTTCCCAAATTTTTCTTCAAACTTTTTTTTATTTTCTGGAAGGTTCCACTGAAGGACCAGCGGAATATTCCAACAGCAGATCGATCCCTATGCCGCGACGCGACTGCGCGCGTCTGCTCCTGTTGAATCTGTCAGTACTGGGAAAAGTTGGTTGTTACTAACTATACTACTATATTACTACTACTATAACTACTATACTACTAAAAACTAAAACTCGGTACTGCTCTATGCTTCTATAAATGAAAGCCACAAACCAACTGTAAAGCATGTTAAAAGGCTAAGAAGCGTTGTGAACAATGATAAAATATTAGCAATGCCACACGAAGAAAGCGGTTTGAAGAGCGGGGAAGGCGAATTGTAGTAGAAGCATCCTTAAACAATTCACGTGCATATTTAAAGCAGCCCGGGACCGTGTTCATTTATTTATTCATTCATTCACATTCGTCACAATACTGGTATTTCAGGCATTTGCGACAAGATTAAATACGGTTGTAAGGAATCCTTAAGATTGGAATTCCCTACATTTCTTCTTGGAATGCCTCTTGAAACACTTCCTTTCTCATCCTTGGAGATATGATTTCAACTGGTGTGGGTCAGGACGCACCACGGACCACTCATCGAAACTAGGTCATTGCGAACGACAGCCCAGCTGTTCTTATTGAGGCCTCTACTTCAATTATGAGGAGATGAAGGATTGCGATACGAAAAGCTGGGGTCGCCGCAGGGCACGCAACTAGCATTTTCTTAAAAATCAGAGTAACTAATGTAAAAACTCGAATTTTGATTGATGAACACGGACCCAGGCGTAGCAAACTACAAGCACACTACGCACCCCGCTAGCACTAACGTAGCTTCGTAGGCGATCCACACTTTGCGACAGCTCGTCGCCGCTCGCCTGCGACTGCGAACTGCGCCGCGACCACGCGCGCGCATTTCGCGCCGCAGTGTAGGAGTTACTCACGTCGTCGCCGAGCGACGCGCGAATTCGCGACGATTCGGCGAGTCGTTGGCGCCATGGTCGCTCCGCGCGAGGTGTGCTGAAACGGACAGTATAAACATAATTAATGATGAGCAGTAATGTAATAAAATGATCGCAAAAAATAAAACTCACTGTGATTGGGGTAACGGAGAAGCCGATAAAGCACTGGTGCGATCGGCTGAGAACCGAGAGATGGCCGGGACGGTCGTTCGACTTGGAGTCACCGACGCCGTTTTACGATATGCTGTGATCAAGTGATTTGCATATTATTTACATTACAAGGTATCAAGTTATTCTATGTCTGACAGATCTCACAAGGAACCGGCAGGGCGCGACGAATAGTACGCCTATGTGGGAGAACCCAGAGGATTATAGACAACCACCCTCTTTGCTACTTTTTTGAAGTCTTATACCACTCAAAATAAATCGATTTCCGCGCTTTCGCCCCCTTGGACTATTTTGTACCATGACTCTTCATTTTTCCTAAACTAGATGCATCAGAAAGATCGTGAACGTGCAAGTAACGCTTCCACGCGCGTAAAATCAATAACACTTACATTATCATAGTCAGCACAGGAGGATAACACCTCAATGAAAGTATTATTTCCCGCATCAGCTGATAAAAATTGGAAGAAGGTGAAACTATGTGGCAAGTATTCATGACACCAGCAAACTGTACTTCCTCAAATGTCGTGTTCAATAAACAGTTATCCCCCTCCAGAAATAGGTTATTATATTTATTTCACTTATTGGGCAAAACAATCTAAAACTCTTACGATATTCATTGGTCTTGTTCAGATATCCATTGGCAGCCGCGTTCTCCATAGGCTTCGATGTGGACGAGCTGTCCGCTGAAATAAGCCGAGTTTAGCCGATTGTGAAAGTAGGTTATGTGTGTTTGACAACTACTTGCACAGGCAGTAGTAATTGCATTTAAAAGGCTTTCAGTTACTCACTAGTAATTGTTAGCAAACACGAGATTACATTTAGCCTGATTCACAACACAGGTCTACAAATCGCTATCAAAAAGGCTATCAAATCAGAATTTGTTTCAGGAAGCCAATGTACGGCTGAAAAGGATGTCGATGGAGCAAGTCCACGCTGGTTCTCCGCTTGTGCGCGATCTCTCACTGAGGGAGTGTTTCGAGATGTTTGATTCAGATCAACAAGGTATCTTTCGAGATTACTTCAGATCCGTTTTGATATCGATATTGATCAAAAGTTCCCGGTGTGATTGCCCACAATCGAACACCACTGAACATCGTCTCAATGAGAGAGCGCAGACAAGCAGAAATGGGCGTGGCCCTGTTTCGCCGACTATGTCCGCTAGCAGCGCGATAGGCTTCCTGAGACATATCCACTAATCGAGTAACAACTAGTAGCTACTAATTAGCAGCATTCAGCTAACCGTAGATCTTTCGCGGAGTGAAGCGATATGAGTAGTACCCTGAAGTAATCAGCGACAAGTTACGGTAAATAAAGAAGTCAATCTTACTGAACCATTGATAAAGGAGTATTTCATAATTTGTTTTGTTTTGTTCATTTCAATTCCAACCTTTAACCGAACCAGAGGTCGCCTCGCTGTTATGTCGCAGCCATCCAGACCCAGATGGTGGCCACATCCCTCGGCCCGACACGCCATGCAACAGCTCGCTTCTCTGGCACTATAATTTTGATCTACGCTCGGGATAAATGGGATAAACTCTCGAGTTAATCGCGTGAAGAGGGTCCACTGGGATCTATGCGCTTGAGACGGGATGGAGGACGCTCCCTCCAGGAAACGGAACATCATAAGCGGACGGATTGGCACATGGTAGATGCCAGGTGACTTGGGATCAAAAGTGACACTTGAGAATATGAAAATAGCTAAATTGTGAGCTCAGTAAATAAAAATTTCTGAAGACAGTATAGAAGGAAACATAACATAAAGAAGAAGCTTTTTAGCAGAGCACTGTTCAAATGAAAAAAAACACGAAAACGACGTAAAGATGATAATAAACAAGCTGCCGACATCAAGAAAAAACATCGTAGTAGGGCAAGACCGTAGGTAGTTCCTGTAGGAATATAGGATCGCCTCCTGCACTATGCTGGGCCAGTAGGTGACTTTCTCCCACTTATACCCACTCATAAAACAATATTTATGATCAGTAAATATTTATGCTGAATGGAATTCCAGCTGTAATTTCACCACACGTTCACACCCACTGCTGGGATTACTGTAATTTTTCAAAACCGCTTCGAAATCTTTCTTTCGAGGAAAACAGTGTGGTTCTTCGGTGGATGACAACAAAAGATCAACAGTAAACACATCCATCTCAATGCTGAAGGGTTCCACACTTCATTTCAACGCACAATCAAAACCTCTTCCGCTGAAACGAATTTCAAACGCATGTCGTATCCCAGGAACATTCGAAAGGATAATAGCATATGCCTCAAAATCGTACTCATGTGAAGAGAGAACTTGAGAAGGAATTACTGAGAGCATTCAGACCCTGCAAGCAAAAGAATTTCCGACTGCAAAGGATGGATGAGGAATCAACTATGAAAGCCATGCTTTGAAAAAAGGTGACATAATTACATTAGGCGATGGAAGGCTGACTTTTCGAAACTGAAACGTCAATAGTCCCATGACATGTGGCAAGCGTCAGCATATCGCCTAGGAAAAGGTTATAAAGTGGCTGACATATGATTTGAGCCAAACGATAAACGGCCCTTCGCTCGTGTCAACACTATCTTCGTGGGGTTCTTTTTTTTGCTTTCCGTAAAATGGGTTTTTTCTAGAAATGAATCGGAGAGCTCTACACAGAAAAAAGTTGTTTTCTACACGAACGAGGAAATTTATGACTTTCTAGTCTTCGGATAGAATCCTGAGGGTACTTGATCTTGCAGGGTTCTGTTGCTATTCAGAAAAATTCGACTTATCTTGGGTCGAACACAGGAAAGCAGAGGATTCAAAAAACGGAGATAGTCTTCCATAGAGGCTTCTCAGCTTCTTCCGATGTGATCCTCTACAAGTGCGGCACGATTAAGGCATTAGTCAAAATTAAGGGTTGAAAAGTTCCCGAACTCAGGACGTAGAGCAAAAAACCCACGAGATGGCATTTCGTTGGAAAATGCCTTAAAGGCGCAGGGCTACTGTACGGCGGTGAAGTATGGCAGCGTGAGGTATCAGCGTGAAGTAGAAGAATACTTCAAACGATACTGTCAGCTGCGCAAAAGTTCACTGATGATTTGATCCCAGACTACTGTCAAGTACAAGAACAGGGCACAACTGGGTCGAATTCCAACACGACTTCCCTACTCGACTTCCCTACTCCATCCCTTTGCTCTTTTCTGTTCTTTTTTCAGCATTTCCACTTGATGAGCACAACTAAAGAAATATCAAGGGTAACCATCCACGTTCTTTCTTGTGGGTATCCGATCGTCTACCCGAGAAGCGCCCCTGCCGTTTCACCGTATAGAAGGGTTGACTCAAGGTAAATTGGAAGAGTTTGAGGTATCACTAGGTAACTATTCGGAATTACAAAACACAGATGAGTACTGCAAGAAGCAAGTGGTAACGATACTGGGTAACTACCAGAAAAGATGGGTTCTGATGATCGACAATAACAAACAATAGATGGAATGCTATCTTCCGATATATAATTCCAAAACACAGGTGGGATCGGCAGGGAGGTGTTCGACGTCCTATTTCGCTCCATTCCTTTCCCATAGACAATAAAATCGCAAGGAACAGAGAACACTCGTTGAACTTTGAGGTAGAAGAAGTTTGTGTAACCGTTCATTAGCCATTGACTAGCGAAACCATCTCAAAGAAGCTGTCTCGGCTGACATCTTTTACAAAATAAGCAATTATAATACATTATAGAGGCAATAAAGATGAGAGGACAAGGGGAATTCAATAAAATAAATGGTTTCTAAAAGTTTGAGCGGCTTCGTTTCAGTAACAGTTAAGCGAAATACTGTTTTTCCCAGAACCTAAGGCCCATCTCCAAGTTTGATGAAAGTTATCGAAAATTATACTTTGAAGACTAGTCTTCTATCTTTCTCTCTTTCAGGTTTACAAATAACAGACAAAGAACAAACAGGAGCATCACAGTGATTGATTCTCGAAGGATGTGCCATGAACGCAACCTGCTCTCAGATTCGTAGAAGCGTTTGATAGTGAACTGATCTATACAACTATTGGAAGAGGCTGAAGTCACCCCACCAAGTATTCGGATGGATATAGTCTAGAGATTTCCGCCAATAGACATTCTCTACTTTTATGGACAGCCTTCTCAAAGTCATACCATTTTTACAGTCATACGTGGCTTTGGAAACCTTTCTCCCTATTGAGACCATTGCGTAAACTGGTCAAGGAGCATAAAGTAGTGAGCGCTGCGAAAGGAGACCAAGGACCCTATCGATTAGCGGAGAATGAATCCAGATGTTTTTCTATGCCGATGACCAGGACACTTGGAAGTAATTTCTCCGTTCTGTGGGGATTTGTCGGCGTATGCAGCCGCATGGTGACTTATGGCCTAACCGTTGAGATCAAGGTACTTCACAGGAATGAAGCCTTCCTCCAGATGGGACCATCGTGGCTATCGGGCCAACATCGACTTCAAAACTGTTAGTTGGGGTTACATCACTGAGCGAAACTACAAGTCATAACCCATGACTGGTTCACAGTCTGAAGAGAGCGACAGAAATCGTTATTCCTCAGCCGGAGGGGTCACTATGTAGGTCTTTTTGGCAATGTCATTGCCCTTCTGCCTATAAGACTTCGTCATCCCCTCGGAAGATCGAAGAGGTTACTCAAACAATCCATGGATAACTGGTACTTGTTGAGGCGCCGCACCTGTCAGCTGCTGCGAACCTAAGCAATATCGCACTTTTTCCAATAAATCGATATTATTGATGGGGATATCAGACAACTCCAGTGAGTCACAGCAAGTAACTAATAGTAACGATTGAATGATAAATGAATAGTATAGACAATAAAGGACAAGAGTATGAATCAATGATCCAGCCCCAGAAATCTGACAAATGGTGAACGCCCGAGTCCTGGTGGTATGAAGGACTGCGTGAGGGGCAACTAATTGCGTCATGGAAATCGAGGTTACGAGAGTTACGGCTGGAATTGCCAATAAGATGGATTGATTCGGGAGCCGTTCTGGACGTGATTTCACGGGCGCTGTCGAAGCTGCCGCTGCGATCTGTCGGCCTCTCGACAAACACCTCAAAACCGCGGAGATGTAACGGCTTTCCGAAGTTGTCATATCGTCCGCGTCCACTTTCTCACGAAGTTAACCAACGTTTTGATAAGTAAACTTGTGGATCGCGTAACCGGAGACGATCAACATCATATGATAGCAAAGATCAGAAGAGGATCAGTGGAAAAATAGAGACCAGGGAAAAGCCTGATCTCAACCAAGTAAACGGTAAACCGGTCCCATAGGCAGAAAAAAGTGGATGTACAGTAGAATAAACAGGCACTTCGTCCTTGGTGATCTCGTTCCGAAGATACCTATTGATCAGTAGACAACACTCGGTGAGACATGGTTTTGTAGAAGGGTGCTGAGGCTTGCATTGTAGACATACTACTGAAAAAGTGTTAAGTTATGAGTATTGAATTGATTGATTTATAGCCTCTATAGGAAAAAAGGACTTGCGATTAGCTCCCGAAATCCTGAAAATCAGGGGAGCACGTCCACAAGGAAAAGCCATCGCACAACCGATCCAGTGCCAACGGAAATGTAAGAGAAAAAAAATAAAACGAACTAATACAGAGTCGCCCAGCCTTACTGTGGAATGTAGATTGCAGAATGTAGATCCAAAAATCTCATCAAGAATGAGAGAGGCAGCGTTGCTGAGTGATAAACAAAACTTTGACCGTCGATTGAACGCGAACCATCCGTGCTTTCCTTAGTTGAGAGTGGACGGCATATTGGTAGTGTAAAGGATAAAGCCCTGAGCCCGCTGCGGGGTCAGATTCCTCTCAGACAAAGTGAAATCCATCGTCTGTCGCCATTTCAGTAATTGTAGAATAATAATCTAACGCGAGATTTTAGAAGCCATTCGAATTATTCTCGTTCCTGAGACAGATTCAATATGTGGTGAATAACCACAAGTTTATCACCTCTCCCAAGTACATGACCGAGGAAGGACGGATAAAAGTATCTGTGAAAAAAATTTCAGGATTCAACAAGCTAGAACAGCTGGCCTAATTTGGTCCTCAGGGTCAAAGTGAGGTAAACGCCGTGTCTCGTGGGTCGTAGATGGTAATGCCGCAAAATGGGAACCGTACTCGACGAATAGCTTTTAAAATGACTGCATACTGGTGTTCCACCACAACCCTTCACCCACTCGACGTTCACCCACTTTATTTCGCCACTTCCAAGCGGTCAGGAAGAGCGGATGCATTTCGAGTCCAGCTGTTTAGACCCCCCAAGGCAAGTCATCATAACACCCTAGTAGAAGTCCGATTAATACATCTCCTTATCCAATAAACTGTTTTGCCACTATCAGATGTCAGGCATCATTTCGATTATTAAATAACAAGCTTAACCTAATCGTTGATCACTGAATCCTCTCGATTGGTTCTTATGAGAAGTTCCCAAGTGATGCATGTCTTTTAATATCGTCAATAGAATTTTGTATAAAGTTTTCGGCCGAAAAACCTGCGAAAACACTTTCATACTGAAGCTATTCTTCTCTTTCGCATTATCTAAAGCCAAATCCCCATCCATCAACCCTAAGATGTTCCCATATCCATATTCTAACTAGGAATCTTCCCTAATAATGGGGAAAATAAATGAAGGATGTAGATACTTGAACAAGCCGGTTCAGATAGGAAAAAGTTCCCATAACATCAATGCGAATCAGGTTGATGTCAAGGGCTGCCAGATTCCTGATTGGGGATTTCGTGGTTTCTGGATCTCTTGAGAATCCGTGATTATAAGAGATTCTCGGGGAGGATCTAATCAATTAAACGAGCACTCGAACTCTTTCAGCTTTGACCGGCCCCGTTTTCAGATGCCCCTCCTCTCCCCATTTAACTTCTAGTCGAAATCATATTGGAGTTCGAATGCGTATGTGGCAAATAAAATACTTGCGGTGGCCAGCCGATGTTCAAGTCAACGCTGTTATCTTCCCGATTAGTCTAGTGTCAATCAACCGATCCTGAAGAGGTGGAAGGCTTAGATGGCTCAAGCAGATATTCATTCTATTTCACTGAGCTCAGTATCTGAGAAGGAGATGTAGAGTTTAAGTATCCAGGGTTTGACTCCTGGACCATGCATGTGATAGACACTCATATTCTATTCTCTCCGCTCTTCTCAATAGCTTAGCTCATTGGTATAGAATTGCCTCATCACCAAAATGAAATCTAGGTTTAGCGTCGGGAAAGCTAGTATTGGACGCGAGCGGCTGCGAAACGTATCCGCAAGATGCAGCAGCAGTAATCAGTATAGCAGCTCGCAAGAGCCATCGGTAGAAAACAAATGAATGATTGATGTAGTCAGGTTTCCCTCGAAATATTCATAACATATATTAACTCAAATTATTTCTATCTATTAGATATCGATTAACTTTGAGCAGAACCAGGTAAGAAAAAGAATCCGGTAAAGTCTGTGAATAGCAGTTAAAATAATTAATGAAGCGCGCAACTACGAGACTACTGAGTGGTTATTTAGAGAGTTTTTCCAAGCACACTCATTTGAGATCTTCTACCAACAAAAAGAAGATCTCACAATGAAAGGTTGTATCTGTACTGGTGGGCGCTGGCTGAACGTACTCATCCCACGATTCCCAGAAGTCTTTACCTACTATCAATCACCTTTTCGTACGTGGCTGTGAAGACACATAAGAAAGTGTTTCTAGTGCATGAGAATTACGGTTGAAGCCAAAAACTGATCATTCAATCCAAAATCCTAGTACTTTAAAAAAATACACTATTAATAGATTCCGAAAAGAATATTTCTCATTCTGGGTCCAACTATGAGAAAATGAAGTTACCCGCTCTTATTGCATCTCGGGCTGTACCCGTACTTTATTTCTAGCCGTAGTGTATCGCGGCAAAGGGCATTTAAACAACAGATTCTCTAAACAAAGATGCTGCTGTTCGGGTAAATCCTTGTCCATGGGGGCCTGTAGTTGTGAGCTGCCATAGAGGCAGTTCCGACGAACGCGTTCACTACTTTCACATCCAGAAGCTCACCACTGTCAGAAAGGCTTCATAAATGTTATGCTTGGGATATAATAGAAACCTATGCACAGAAGTGTAGTCGCAAATATCACAGCCTCCTCAGGATCTACATTGCAGTATGACCGTTTACTAGTGGTGTTGTAGCTTCATGGAAAGTAAACAAATAAACAAATGATTACAAGAAATAAATAGATCAATAAAAGTATACTTCTATTGATCTATTTATTTCTATAGTATAGTACGATTCGATTAAGTGTACTATTCGAAGCCGAGGGTAAAGCTACGTGGATGACCAGTAAAGAATTGAGATTCCCAAGAACCAAGGAGCTGTGACTGAGGAGCCCGTCCGAGATCGAACGCTTTGTGAAATCGGGTACCGAACGCGGCAGTAAACAAACAAATAACCAGGAAAACAAAGTGGTCACAAAATATTCCAATTTTTCTAAAATCCCTCCTCATAGCTGAAACACAGAATTGAAGAAAACTTTCCAGAAACAATTCCAGACGATCAAAGAAGACTTTTCGAGACTATTTCGAAATTATAGAGGAAGCATGCCCCTTAGCATGGTCCGTGAAGTATTGGTCCCTCGTAGAAATGATGCAAAATAAAAATGAAATACTTCAAAACGAGAGGCTTCTGAACCTCCCCAATTACCCGGATAAGTTGCGAAATTCACTCAAGCTGAACCCAAGTCAGATGTTTTATTCCGCTAATTCAGTGATAATAAATGACATTGAAGTTGTAAATAATTCGATAGAAATGGAAAACAAACCTCCGTAACCATCTCGGGTCCTATACATACACTGACTGACAACAAAACCACTGAAATGTCGAGGGACGGAGCTAGTCTCGAGTCATAGTTATCGCAGCCATTTGCTAGTTTACACATAGAATGGAGTTCGCACATTTCGCCCCCAACCTCAGGGTTTTTCTTTCATATTGTTGACGTTGAGCTTTGCTCTTCATCATCGGCAACTTTATAACTGTCCCGTCTAAACTTTTTAATACTTATCGGTATCGCTTGATATTTTCCTAAATTCAAAGCCAGCTTTCACGATGTTTATCGATACTCATAAATCCGGGTTGTGAAATCGCTGACGAAGAGCAAATGCCCGTCTCAACCGGACCGAGCACAAGGATTCCTTTGTGTAGGCCATGTATTCCAATTCCGTTAGGAAAGCGAACCCATTTGAGTATGCGGATCAGGCCTTTTGTGCCGAGCCGAGCCAGGCCTATCGCTCTGGAGGCCATGTATGGGTATAGAAGCTGAGGTAGTGTCCCTGGAGGCGGTAAAAGAGCTCGCTTATTCAGTTCACTTCTGAGGCACGTTTCCATTCAGTTAATTTAGAAGACTTCGACGGGAATGATTTCATGGAATACCCTTGGAGAGACCAGTACAAGATAGGTGTTCCCTCTCTCCGATCGTTGTTCATATTGATCCTACTGCGCCCTATCCCACTTCACAAACCCCACTAAATCATCGTGCGGTCCCCTAAAAGCAATGTCATCCCTAATGTAGGCCGCACGGTAAAGTATCTAAATGTACTCTAACAAATCATTTTCTGTGTATCAGAGAATTTTCCCCAGTGGTTTCCCAAAAAGTCCACACTCCTGTGGGGATGAAACCGGAACCATCAGAAATAGTGCCCAAGTCAAAGTAATAATAATAGTGTCGCGAAAAATGGCCATATAAATCTACCTCGATAGGGGGTAGAACGAATGGATTGGTATGAAGGAAAATCCATTACAGACCCAAATCATCGTCTCTTCAATTTCACACCCCTTTATTTGCATCGTTTACAATTCAATTTACAACCCATCGCCTAGTAGCTGACCTTTTATGCTTTCATGACGTAGATACCAAGCCTGTCTATACCGGAAGCAATTATTATGTGGACGGAATCTCGAGCTGTGACTGCTGCGCTTGGACAACATCGCTGAACTCTGATTTCGCGGCTCATTCATCTTTGATGTTCAAACATGCATAGATAAAATGAAATTCCTGCTTTCGGGAGGAACAAAAATTCAGGTCCGGTAAACCAAACAACGACAAGCTTTCATAGCCGCGCCGCAACCGCACGCGTCACAGGGGTTGGTGCGTGGCTAGTGTGCAAAGCATGTCGCACTCAACTTTAATGGTGAAGCATAAGGGGTAACGCTCTATTGTAGCAAAATTTCTTCATAAGCATTACTAGCCACCTTAATATCCTCTTCTAGGTAATAGTTTTCCTGATTTTAAATTTTTCTACGTGGATGTAGTATATAAGCTTTATATCGACTGCTCACCATTGTTCCGTTCGCGACTCGTCCATTTATTGAGTAGTTCTCGAGCCTCATTACGGTACTTGCTTCCGCCATCGCGTACGGAAGTATCAAATCGAGAAGCTCTGGCGCTTACCGAGGGACCGAGACTGAAACGGCAAGCTACTGATTTATCAAAATCTCTTGCGGTTGGGCAGCGCGATGAGAGGAAGCGTAGCATCGTTACTGGGCAGTTCAGACGATCGAATCTAGCCGAAACTAAACAACCCTTCCGGAATCAACTAGCCCATGAAAAGCCCTATTGCTTAGGAATGTTCGTTCATATAGCAGATGCATCTGTTATCCCATTCATCGGGCCGTAGCCCTGAACGCATTCAAATGCTGCATTCTTCTAGACAGAGGTGGGTTAATTGGCTTACTTTGCAGGAATCTATGGGTCTCGTTTATGTCTTTTTCACTTTGCCCTTTTATTGTTTTCAGTCAGGTCTTCAGAGATTCTTTAAGGAACGCTGTGAAGAAAGAATGGGGCAGCTGTTCAGCGCAAACTTCAACAGCGTTCAGTTTTCGGCACATTTCGGAAAAAGTCTACAGGTGACGTAAACTCCCACTTGTGACTAATTCAATGGTCACACCTGTTTTACGGCCCAGCACAGCAATCTCTTGAAGATGCGCCATATCGCTAGCAATCATTTGAGAACAACTAAACAATTGAATGTGTACTTAGCTNCGGACAGGTTTCCCAAACAAATTTGGCATGATAAGAAAACCCCAGAAGACTAGCTCTCAATGCTTTGAATAGGATTCGAGGGGGTGCAGACGCTAAGTACGCTCAAGAAGATCGCAACAGCATGTCGCTCCCGCGCCGTACCTATCGCGCTCAGGTCAACTATCGAATAATCGCTTCGTTCTTATGCAAATCATGTCTTCCAAACTTTACGAGACAACTAGCCTAACAAAAAGAGCTGTGGGCGAATCGAGTCTGACGTCAAATCCGAACTGAGTCTTTGGGATTGCGAGGCGGTTCCAAAAATTCTACAGTATCCGCTCTGAGGTACGGTACAGTAGTGGGGTCGTCGACATTTTCAAGAGAATACAGGGGAAAAGACTGCTTTCAAACGCGATATTGAAGAATTAAGTAAAATATACCTGGTTAATTGAGCTGCAGCTCTAGCGGCTTCATTAGTGGTGCCGTTTGAGTAGCGTGATGGTACGGTACTGGTACGAGGGGATGGTGACACCGATGAGTAGTAGGTTTTTGGCTCGAATCGCGCCGCTATCGTTGACGCATGGCTTCGATAACCCGTAGTTGAAGGCTTGTTCCAGCGTACTGAGTTCCAGCTAAATGAAAGCAATTCCTAATTTTCCATGTGGTAATCAATAGTAATCAATATCTCATACCTCGTCCCATAGGTACTTGGCTCGATGCTACCCGCTAAGGTCTGTGAAGTTGGCGTCGTTCTACCCGCAGTGTTGGCTGACCATCTTCTACAAATTTTCAGATAAAATCCTTGATGTGAGCAGATTTGAAATCAGGAAATGAAAAGAACCAACACATTGTGATATATATCACACCAGGTGAGTTTTAAATATCATACACTATCAAGTTTTTTCTGACTTGTGAGATGGATGGTAGTTGTGTAATGGCAACTGGCGCACTATCACACACGCATGGTCACGAGTTCGAATCCCGTGGCCGTGCGTGTGTGCATGTGAATCGAATTGACATCCGCCTAAGCCAACCAAGCATTCTATTCCATTTGGGGCCCCTTAACTAGCACCAGACTGGTTTGAGAGAACAAAGCACTTATAGATCGGCTGGACACCTCAAACCATTGCATAGGTCACAAAGGCATTCAATACGAAACTACGATTCTGAATGGAAGTCAAAAGCGGGGCGCATCCCAAAAATGGTTTGTTTACGCCAAAAAATAATCGAAATAAACGCAAGGAAATAAGCAACAACAAATAGAAATTGCACAAAATCGATTGAAATTCGAGATTTACTCAAGGTGTGAGCTCGGTTTTGGGTTTCACGCCATCAAAGTTGAATAGCTGGCCTGATCGAATAGATTCGATAAAAAAACACTACCATCAGCCTTGATTAATTTTTCACTGGTATATACCACGTAAATGACCTCTAGTCAAGTTCGCATTAGCAGCCCATAGCGCATTTGACCTTTACAAAGAATCCCCCGGAATCGTCTGACGAACATTTCAGAGGATCAGTTCTCTGAGGTTAGCCTTACACGGTGCCCAACCCTGAACGGATGGAACGCATGCCCTGTCCTACTTCCGCTTCCAAATTGCTGCTCAAACTGTAGGGTTTACCAGCGCCTTCCATCTGATTACACAGATTGATTACGGTCGCCATTTTGCGCTACTGATTTCTCCATAGATGGAATTCATTCCAGGACCATAAATTCTTACTGAGACTTTAGGGTGTCTAGGTGACAGATATGTCGTGAATTCCCTAAAAATGTTCCATCGATTAAAATGAACCCACTGATTTCTCAGAGCCACTTGCCTTTCAATCAGAGAACTCGAGTTTAAGTTTTTGATAAAAGGCATCCACAATCACAATCAGATGATGATGAGGAATATAAGCAAATGAGGGAATACATCAGACTAGCTACACCAACCAGCATTCATAATACAGGTATTACTTTAATTTTCGATAAAATCGGGGGTTAGCGCTTCTTCGAAACCCTAGAAAACGAGCAATCACCAGAAAGAAGAGCGATGCTCACATGACTTTGAAATGAGGCTAAGGAAATTTTAAAGAACATTCGTTCAAGTGCGGTTTACAGCATACTGGTTCATATTCAGCTGATTGTATTGATTGATAGTATGTCTCTGATCGCGTTGACTAACGCGCCCAATCAATAAATATCTGAACCGCTACCACTAAGACATGTTGTCAGCAACTACTCATTATAATCCAGTCAGTAGTAGCCACCATGAAAATAATCAATCTCTGAACCTATTCATTACAACGATTCCTCTACATTGATAAGTTTCTGAGCAACTGCTCGGAGCCATCATAACACCATCACTTTTTATAGTAATACTTGAACTCATAAATCACCCTGGAACAGTCGCGAAGTGGCACCACTACGAGATGGCCTCCAAAAATCAATTTTCTCACCTCATTTCGACTGGATGAACTCAATTTCCTACTTTCTCATACCAACTAACTATTAGTGGACCGACTTTGGACAGTAACTGACCCATACAATGTCCCAAGAGAAGTATTGTCAAGGGCAAGTACTCATTCAAATGGATGTCACGGTTCTGCATGATAGATGAACGCATGGCGCATCCCAAGGATAATTCAGTGCGAGCGTCGGAAATTCATCCTTCAAAAACTTTAAGAAAAAAAAATAGTATTGCGTAATGGCCAATACAATGACTCCGGGGGCCAGCCGATATACGAGTCAATGCTTCTATCCTAAGAGGCAAGTCTGGCACCAAACAACCAATCCTGGAGTCAAGGTTGCTCTGCCCCAGGTGGGTTACGTTTGAGGTTTTATCCCTAGACCATATCTGTGGTAGCGCGCCACTTGGGATTACCCCATTTTCGCTTCAGAACAACTTACTAGAGGGAAAGAGATCAAGAAAGAAAGCATTTTAAAGTGTGAATTTGTTGAATACTGACCTTCTAGATGACAGTCTCAAACGAGGTGGTAGACCCATTGATCGAAGAAAAATCGATTAAAGTCGATAAAAAACCAGAAATCGATAAGTGCGAAATTATTTCGAAGGACTCAATGTAAGCGTGGCGTTTCAGTAGTCCATAGATTGAAAAATATCGTTCGAAACGACGAGATGGGAACGTAGCACGAGGAGAGTGGGTGCCACTGCACAGAATCGCTGCAGGTAGCAGGTGACAACTGCGCTTGGCTGATCAGCCTGTTATCCCATCAGAAAATCATCGGAAACTCGAGATGCGATCAGTTTTGTGAACAAGAACAACCGTTTCTGGGAATGATAAATGAACTAGGATGTTACAACTGGTAACACACATCAGTTCTAAGCCACAAACATAATGCTGTTTTCCAGAGGCTCCCCATTTCCTTTGCCAATCTTGCAAACGTCGAAGAGTTTGAGTAGCGATACACCGTCCACATCCACAAAACTACTTCCCTGTTACAATGGACATATGCTATGCCTATGAAAAAAAATTTCCTTTTGACTTGACCGTCTATTAAATCTAGTTCCTCACACTTGACGGGGAACGCACTTCACAAATAGATCATAGATGGAAAGTTTCATTGAACCACCTTGGTTTTAACAGGATTTGAACTCAGGTCAGTTTTTTTTATTGGCATTATCATAAAAGCGTAAAGGGCGGAGGTGTAGTGGCAAGTGACGCACTTCACACACGCATGGTCACGAGTTCGAATACTGGATCGAACTCTGCCCGGCTAACCAAGCCTTCTACCCCCACCGGGTTGGTTTATTGGTACCAGACTCGTATGGGAAGATAAAAGCACTGACTTGTACATCAGCTGGCCATCGCAAGTAATTGTGTAGGCCACATATGCACTCATTGCGCCACTACGATTCTGAAAGGAAGTCGAGTGCAGGGGCGCATCCCTTAAACGGGATTGATTAACGTCAAAAACTTTATTCTTTTTACACTATCATAAATGTGAGGACGAGGTGCAACGAGGACATATAACCCGGAACAGAATAGAATTCTAGAACGCAAGTCGAGCCTTCCATAGTTCCAGATGGCTGATTGAGAATAAGCTCCTTTATAAGGGTGAAAGACTTGCACACATCCCGTTTTCAACGACTAATCGGATAGAAGCCAAGTCTGTGGCTTCTCACACTGTCGCTTTCGTTTTATGGTCGGCAAACGAGCAACACCAAACGAACATCTTTGCTTTTTGAGCTTGTCGTGACTCCCACTGCTTTCCCAGAATCGTAGTCGTCATCAGATCGCCGAGGCAATTCGACACGCACTACTGTCTTCAATTCAGATCGCATGCCAGCTGCCTGTCAGTTCGGCATGCTGGCAGCATCCAAATGGTGCCTAGTCTGGTTGCATCTTCTTCGCTCCGCTTTGTCTCAATTCGAATCTGCCTGTCGTCTGCCACTTTTCGTCATCGTCTTCGGTCAACCGCCTTACTTTGTTAATTGTTCTCATTCCTGCCATCGCTCCTTCCTTCGCACTGGCCGCAGCATTCTTCACCTGTGCTCTTTCTGCAGTCCACTGTCATTTCAAACCTCCGAGGAAGCGCATGACTTTCGATCTCGCGATTCGATCGTATTAAGAAGTATTGAAAGACGCATCGACAGAAGGTGTAGTACTATGACTACAGGTACGAAGATAGTAGAAATGAACAACCCGGCGGCACGTATCATATGAGCTTAGGTCCAAGTACTTTGTCGCCGTGCCCGAGCTCAAATATAGAGCTAAGACATATGTAGTTTTGACAGTTCAATGCAAAAACGTCCGAATGTTTCCACAATTCCGAAGTATCACGAGAAACAAAGTGTCACGAGAAGTCATCGCTTTCCGTAATACTTTGGGCGTGGCTAGCGCAACGTAGGCGAGATTGGAACCCTGCCGACGAGGGCTTCGGTAGGAGAAATTCTTTTGAATGAATTAGAAAATACCTGTCTATCAGTGAAAAGACGACTGCGAAAGTTCTATGGTCGTACTGACGATTACTACATGTTGCAGTGACATGAAAAAAATTCAAATGGAACTTGGCATTGATCGAGTTTTTGAGGTGCGCCGTGCATTTGCTTTTACTCGAAATGACAGAGGCATTTGAATGGCTCTTCCCGCTGTTCAATGTAGAACTTGGAACGATTTAAACGAATGATATTCAATACCATTGGTAACAATTATCAGAATCTGAATTAATGGTCGCTAGTGGATCACAAAAACCTGACTACTTGGTGAGTTATGCTTCTACCTGATGTGCCATCTCGTAGCTTTTGGCTAACCATCACTACTTAAATATATCTATCAAACAAATCGTGCCAAATCCGACAACATCTTTCAGAAAGAAGGAACAGCTCAGTCCTTATCTCGACTCCAACTCATCCCTCACAATGAAACTCATCGCTCATAAGGGACGTCATCCCTCATAACGAGAACGAGATAAAAGTACGAAAGAAAACTGTCAACATCGTCACCTGTGGTAGTGTCCGGCGCTCATCCCTTTACTGCGAAGATTTTTTCCCTGCACACACTGCCAAACGCGAGACTGAGTGGAACATCAAGTGCCGATAACAAAGCACTGAAATGACATCCGTGTCAATAAGAAGAAGTAATAAGGAAGTTATATGGATAAAGAGCATACAGCCCTAAAACTGTCGTAAAAACGGAAATCGGAACACAAGAAACAAGCGAAGCACTGATCTATGCTCGCGGCAAAAGCGTTGGAAGTAATAAATATCACTCCATAGCATAAGACTCAAAACTCTAGGCCAGGGTTCATTGAACAAGTGGGGATCAGTGATTGAACCCGATTTGATCCACAACAGTAAATCGAAAATCAGAAAAAGATTTTGTAGTCAGCTGACGAACGAAATTCAAAAATAGGAACGTAACAAATGGGAAACTGCCCATATTGTTTATGCACAACTACCAAGGTCATGGGAACGGGAGTGTGTAGGAGGGCAGAAGAAATCAGAACAACAGTCAAAACAACAACAAAACAGGACGCCCCGTTTTGGGGATTTCCACGAAAAACGGAAAAAATTTCTTGTTAGGACATGTCAAATCTTGTTGGTGTCATCATATTTAACGGCGTCACCTGTTTGTTCCTGTTAGCGTCCTTACTACTGTAGCCTTTCGGGGGCGGACCTTACGTAAGGAGGCGGGATCCGTCTCCAAATAGGACGAGATGTTACAGAAACACTACAACCAGAAAGTGTAGCCACTCGAGACGTTTCTTCAGATCCCATGGCCCTTGAGCCTACACCATCTCTCCTTGTTCACAGGGTTCTACAGATTTTGCGAAAGAACGAATGGTTGAAATCAGGACCCTCAGGGAGACGAATGCGATTTCTCATCATTCGAAAAATCCTAATTGGCCAAGTTCAATCCTACTGACTACGTTCTTTTCTTCAGAAAAAGCAATATGTAGCTTTCCCTCTGAACGTAGGGAATTATAATTGTATATACACATGATTAATGTGGACAATCGCATATTTCCCAAAGTCTTCAGCAGCTCTTGATGAGGGCAATTTTGACATTTGGGAAACAGTGAGAGAGAGAAACAGAAACAGAAACAGAAACAGGAAGGAAAAGAGAAAGAAAAAAAGAAAGAAAGAAAGAAAGAAAGAAAGAAAGAAAGAAAGATTGGAGGGAAACATGATTCCACCTCAAGATCGACCCCAACTGTTCTCGGTTATCCCCAAGTTGCCCTTTTTCAAACAGTTTCTTCGTTGTAATACACCTTGGGCGTCGTTAAATAAAAGTAATGACAGTAGTTAAGTTGACATCAAAACCACATAAAAGCAAATTATGGGTCGTCAGCCGGGTGAATTGACTCCATAAATAAAAAAGGTGGCAATTATTTAATCGGGCTTTTCCTCATAAAAAATTCTCCAAGAAAATTCTTCTGAACCTGGGGGCGACCTTCGGGTTCTGGTTTCACCTTGCATATAATTCGAAACACATCTCAGAGAACATTCGGAGCAATCAAGGAGCTTTGCGGTTTTCTCGGTGGTTCAGCTAAGAAAATATTGGGAAACATTCAATGGAACGTTGAACAGGCTAATCGCACAAAAACGAAAACGAAGTGGTTCACATTGTCAAGATGAGATGGGGCAAATCTCCCGAGGGCATGGGGCATGCGGCGTCACGTTCTCAGCGCCTTGGAACGCATGCCGCTCCCCGGCTCTTTGTCAACAACCTTCGACGATGAGCAGAGCGTAGGAGTGATTTGGTTACTTGATCATCCCGAAATCTGACCATCTTTAGAGTATTTGGCCAGCTATTCGGACCCGACCGAATACTACTCTCTCGCAGCCCAGAAAAACCTACGGACATAGAGATAAGGATTAGAAAATCAAAAAAAANNAAAAAAATCAACACCTTTTAGCATGAATACCTGAAAAGAGCTAAAGTACCTCCTAGGGATCCCTATCTAAAAAAATCCTTAGATTAGGTCTTGGCTTATCATTTATCAGCTACTACAACATCAGAAAAACGGCTCAATTTGAATAACACTCCTAGCACTCAAACATCTAAAGGCTTTTTATGATGAAAGCATGCTTTTGACCGTCTCAGCAAATCCGAACATATTCAGGAGGCATGGCGCATTCCAAAAATATGAATCACATTGAGATTGAGTGTTTTCTAAACATACTCAATCTTTCAAAATTCACATTTTCAAGAAGATCTCTAGGTGATAATATGATCACTGATAATTCAGTATGAGAAGAATTTCCGGGAAGACAAATGTTATTCCTGAAAAATATACAATACATGTAGTGCTTTTACTATCAGCAGATAGTGTTTTGACTTTTTCACTTGTTTTTTTTTGTATTTTCGTAAATTCGGTTTTTATTTCATGATCTTCACATAATTTTTTCGTAATTTTTTATACAATATTATATATATGTAATAATGAAATAACTGATGGCGAATGGCGAGCTTTTTCATTTTCACTCTGTTATCTCTATTTTGTATTTATATTTTAATATCAGACAATATATATTCCTTCGAAATCACCTTGAAACATTTTACACTGCCCATGATTACCCCACATCTGGCTCTCATCGTCAATCACCTACTTATCTGACCAGCGGCACTGGCAACTCGTTTTTATCGCAAATGATAGCTAGTAAGTGATAATTGATAGGTGAAAATGAGGAATCGAAAAAGGAAAAATGATGATTTGATTCCAAGGATACGCCATGGCTATTGTTAACCTTAGCCGATTGGCATTCGATGAAGTCGACCGCCGGCGGCAATTTACCCGTACAGCCTCGGCCTCTGTTCTGGAACATGTGTTGTTACGCTCTTATTTCAGCTGACGTCTTGATAGACTCCCCTCCTGCTTGTCACATGATCGATTTTCAAAGAAACCCCTTAACCCAGTAATCACTGCTATTGATATATCAGTCTAAGAGCCGATTTACCATCACCGAAACCGAAAGGGAAGGAAATATTGGTTCATTAAAGAGAGGGGATTGATGGGCAAATGGGTGAGCACTTGGACAACTTTGATCCCTGACTCCCCCAGATATAATCCACTCTCAATCTGGGTAAAAAGCAATTTATTGCTGAGGAACTAGCGCTTTCCATTTCGCTTTCTCAAAGAAAAAAGAATCGAGGAGAATGGGACATTTTAACCATTTCCAACATTACATCACTCTCCAATGTTAGTAATCGATATCAATCAATCTCTATTGATTGGTACTATCTACCCAAGTGATGAGAGTTGCATACAACTTTACTTACACAAATCATTTCCACAACTGGGGAGGTTTTTATGTGTTTTTTACTAAGGAGGTGGAATCCAAATCAGCACAAAGAGAGACCAAGAAACAGACGGATTGCAAAACTGGCAAGCGAAAAGCACAGGAAGTGGGCAAGGTTTCAGTTTTGGCCACTCAGAATGCGCTAAGAACTTAATTCTCATCCAGAGATTAAACACGTGAGTGTCTGGTCTGAATCAGGAACTGTGGATGCATATCTCTACATACATAACCAAGCAGATGCAATCGAAGAGATGGACAATTGAAGACAGAAGTAGTGAACATGGCGCAGAAACATGAACGGTTGGCATATCGCATAGGAAACTCTCACAAATATTTTCAAAGCATTAGAATGCTCCTTTGTACCACATATGTTGCGAATATGACATGCCTACGCCTGGTGAAGGGATGGACGACGAAAAAAGTCCGAAAAATTGGAAAAAAATTGGAAAGGACAAGAAAGAAAAAGCAAAAATTTACAAAAAAGAAACGGATTGGCCACAAGCCGACAAGCAAAAGCTGGCTGAAGAATGTCGACTTTTGGTATTTTCTCGACAAAGGATCAGAAGAGTAACAAAGTGTTCGGCTAAAACACCGACTCTGGATTGCGCCATAAATCCGAACTTTGCTCAAAATCGTAGAAGTGTTTGAATATGTAACTAAGCTAAATTTTTAAAAAATTGAAATATTCCGACCTGTTATCTTATCAGACTGAGTGTGGAAAGGCGAAAGATCCATCTGTTCCTAAAGGCATTCGATCCCAACAAAGGTGCGGCTTTGCACAGCGCTTCTAACAACTGAACCAGCTCCGCCTTCTCTTAGGTTAACGTCAGAACGGGAAACTCAGTCATTTTTCTGGGAACCATGCTGATTTGCCGACAGAACTAACTAAAAACTATACTTCTACGAGCGACTACTGGACAGGCCATTACATCATTCGGAGCGGTGTCTTTACACTGCTACTAGGTTATCATTGCTTGGCTTGTCAATCTTGTTTCCCCTTGAAACAACTACCGATGGAATGACTACTATATCCTGCACATTATATTTGCATTATTAGCTTAAATACTATTCTTGATACTATATCCTACATACTGTATTGCACTAATAATGTTCTATATTACTATACATATATGCCTTTAAACTCGGATGTTCAGGGACCTATATCTTTGAGAACAGAAGAATAGAAGGATCAAGTCCTAAGGCGTTAATCAATCCGTCTAAGGGAGGGGCGTCCAAGCATACGACCTACTTCCAAGAATCGTTGTGGTGTATTGGATGCGTATGTGGCCTATACATTGAGTTGAGGTGGCCAGCCGATGTACAAGTCAGTGCTCTTAGCCTCCCACGTGAGTCCGGTACCAATTAATTGAGCCCGGAGCGATGGAAGGCTTGATTGACCTAGACGGGAATCGATCTGGGTTTAGAACCAGCGACCATGCGCGTGTGATAGCGCGCTTTTGCACTTCACCACCTCCGCCCTTCTGTTTTGTATATCAAAAAAATCTTTCTAAGCTTGACTATGTGGACGGTTGAGGTTTTCGAGCAGGTAAAGCCCTTTTATTTAAAATTTTTATATAATTATTAATGGTTACGGTTTTGACAGTTAAATAATTGAGAAACCTTATAAATCACATCAAAAACTTCGAGAGGCCTAATGAAACACATTAAAAATTATTAGGAACTTAATGCATCATATTAAAATCAAAGTTTCTCAATTTACGTT